AATTCTGTTGACATGAGACATAATTGCTCCTGGCTGCACCAATTGATCCCGAGAGAATGTTGGGCTTCTAAGACATTTCCATTTGGAAGTTTGTCTTTTTGGCACAAAATGACCTACTGGGCAAAGAACTGACCTTGCCTTGATAGCTGACAGTACAAATGCAATGCTGTCCTTTCTGGACAAGTGGGACACAAGGAAAGCGACCACTGTACTCTGCCAAGACAGGGTAAGATGGTCTCTCAGAATTCCTGCTTCTAAAAATGGTCTGTCAGATACTCTAGGCCTGTAGCCAATTTGAATACACAAACTTTTCTTTCTTAAAACAAAAGTGCCAAAAAACCAAAATGTCCATCAACAGCATCAGCAGGTAGACAGGAGAAAGGATTGTGCTATATCTGCTGTTGATACCACCCTGAAATAAAAAATAAGTTAATGATACTTCTAACAGAATGGATGGACCTCAAACACATCAGACACAAGCAAGTATACACAATGTGATTTCTTTAATGTTAAATCCCACAACAGGCAAAGCTAATGTGTATTTAGAGGAAGCAGATGAATGCTTAGCTGGACCACGGGACAAGAAGTTGAACAGAGTGGAGGGGTGCTTATTACATATAGCAGTTTTGTTTGTGGTGATGAATGATTGGGTGTATACTGTTGAAATCCATTGAACTGTGTAGTCAGAATGAGTACAGATTGTTGCATATGAATTATGACTCCAAGTGCCCCGAGACCTCGTTTCTAGAGATATTCGGCACTAGCAGCCTTCCTGCCTTAATTTTCCTCCTGGCTGACCTAATATGATGCTGCATTCAGCGGGTGTTTTATATGCAAAGACTGTAGAACTGAACAGATCATCCCATGTTGATTGACGTCTCCAAGCTTCCAGGAAAACCCTTCCCCCCAACTCAAATGTTAATTCTTCCCAGAAGCCTTCCCAGATCCCCAAATTGGTGTCTCTGACAACACTGGCCACAACTCTTTCTTACTACCACATTTCAAAATTAATTATTACCTCTTTTGTCCACTGCTCATTAGCTACAAGAAATCCATTCTGGTCGTTATCATTATACCATCTCCTAGTCCAGCATTTACTAATTGCATGCACTTCCTGGGTGTCTAACAGAATGGTTGCTTTAGAAGGTTCTAGACGCAGTAGCCTCAGAGGCCCTGCTCTATTTAGCTTCTGTTCTGGCACAAAAGAGCCATGAGATGTCATTTCCAGAGAAAATCCCTCCTGAGAATCCCTTCCTGCCTTAATTTACCCCTGGCAGAACTAAGCAATGGACAAAGGTTTTCTAGAGTCTCTTAACTATTCATGAATCTCTGTTCCAGGGCACCCCTAAGAGCAAATTGTTAAGCATCAAAGAGGCAGGTGTGTCCCCTCCTCAGAAGGTCTTAAAAATGGTCCCCAGCCTCTGAGATGGCTAGATAGGAAAAAGAGATTGTGACCTTTTAGAGCCGAAGCCTACAAGTCTCTCTTCCTCTGTACCCGCCTCCCTTTATTCTTCCTTTCTCTAGCGGTTTCCTTTTTGTCTTTTTCTTAGTCCCATCGCACTTTCCCAGAGCTGCTGCTTGGGTTAGCTCTTCCTTCCTTGCCAGTAGGACTGATCTCCATCCTGGGTTCTCTTGGAGTATCCTGCACGGCCCAGCCTCTTCCTCGCTGATCCCCCTCGCTGTTCCTCCTTTCCTCCCCACCCTACGGAAAGCAGAGTTCCTCACGAAGCCCAGAGGTGGGAGGTGGGTCCTGGCGCCGGGTCCGCCCCTCAGTGCGTGTGCGAATGCTTGTGTGGCGGTGACGCGCAGGCGGCGGCGGGAAGGGGAGGGAGAGAGAGAGAGAGAAGAGAGAGAGAGAGAGAGAAGGAGGCCGCCGACCGCCGGGGCTGCTGGGCTCCTGCGCGCTCACGCTCCCCGCCGCCAGCCGAGGCGCAGGCAGGGCGCAGGCGGCGGCGGGCGGCATGGAGAGCCTGCTGGAGAATCCGGTGCGCGCCGTGCTCTACCTCAAGGAGCTCACGGCCATCGTACAGAACCAGCAAAGCCTCATCCACACCCAGCGCCAGCGCATCGATGAGCTGGAGCGGCGTCTAGACGAGCTGAGCGCGGAGAACCGCAGCCTGTGGGAACACCAGCAGTTTCTGCAAGCCCAGCCGCCGCCGGGGCTCGTCCCTCCGCCGTCCGCCCCACTGCCTGCTCCTACAACCACCGCTCCGGCCGCCACTGCGGCCCAGGAGCCTCTCCAGGACCACGGACAGCTCACACCCGCCACGCCGGAGCCGCCGCTTCAGCACCACGGACAGCTCCTGGCGCAGCCCCAGCCGGGCCCCAGCAGCAGGGCTCAGGCTCCCCAGTCGCCCCACCAGCACCCGGTGGCACCAGGGGCCATAGGCGACAAGGAGAAGGAGCGTCCCCCGAGTTGTTGCGCTGCCGCCGGAGCCCTGCTTCAGCACACATCCCCCGCAGCCCTCGGCAAGGGCGTCCTGAGCAGGAGACCCGAGTAAGTGGGGAAGAGGAGGTGGGAGAAGCAAGTGGGTGTGAGGAGATAGGGGAAATCAGCATGTAAAAGTGAAGGACTGGGGTAATGTGAAGTAAAGCAGGTGAAGATGCCTTGGGTAGAAATCAGTCTAAGAGATCCCTGCAAAGAAGGGCTTGATATGCGCGTTTGAGGTTTTGTGGTGGGTGGTTGGAGCAGAAGGAAGTATCCAGACCATCTTTGGGGCAAAGAATGAGAGACATGGGTTTAAACTGGTTGGGGATATCGGCAACTTCCAGGAATTAAAGGAGATGAAATTGAGAGGAAGTTGGGGGTGAAAATTAAGCCAAGGCAGAAGACCATTGAAGGATTTAAGCTAGGAAAAAATGAGGAAGGGAGTTTGCATAGTACAACTGTTTAAATAAAGAGTGAGATGTCAAGAAGACAGGCTTGATCAGGAGGTTTGTTTAGAGCTTTAAAGGGGCTGGGGTCCAGCAACGAGGATTGGAGCAGGGAGGATAAAGCTGAAGGACAGGAGGGAGCAGGCAGGGGAGCTGGATACAAGAAGATGAAGGGTGGGAGACAGCGCTGCCCAGGGGAAGGAGGTGGCTCTTTATCTGATGCAGTGGGAGTCAAAGCCAGGAGTGGCTCGCTTGGGGAAGCTTTCTCCCTTCTGACCCAAGTGAGCATCTTCATCTCTAGTCCCTGCAGTGCCCAAGGGGGACACAGAAGCAGCCTTCCAAACGTGTGGGGGCCCCTGTTACAGCTTGAGGACTCACCTGGCTGGAGCTTGCCTCTGGCTCAGGAGCATGTCTGGGTGGTTGGGGACAATAAGAACGGAGACAGCTGGGAAGCAGTTCCTTGAATGCGATGCCTCTGTAAATTGCTGTTGTGGTTACTTATGGCAAGCTCCTATTTCCCTTCGGTTATTTGGAAACATCATCTTGGATTCCAGGAGAAAGGTTCATTGTCCCCAGGCAGTCTAGGGCCCCGAGATTTTTCTTCACTCAGGAGGTCCATGGAATAAGAATGTAGGAGGAAGAGATGAAGGGGGCTGAATGTTTTCTCCTCTGTATTGGGAAAGCTTGACAATCCTGTCAGTATTACTTCTCTGCTTAGACAGGGGAGGGAAGAACATCCCTGTGGCAATTAGTACCTGGTCAACAAGGGCCTGATGATGTGATGCTGAAGGAGAGGGAGGGGCAAAGTGAGGAGAGCCGAGCACCTCATCTCGACGGTCTCACATGAGCTTTATGTCTGGAAGACACTTGTGAAGATTGGATGCATTCATTCCTTAAAAGCTCACCTCTTCTCTGCCCTCCACCCCACTGTCCTCTCCCATCTCTGTGGAGTTGAGAAGGTGGATCAGGCATGCATGATCACAGGGTAGGCTTGACCAGAAGCACAGGACCCCAGGGATGGAGATCTGGAATGACCAGGCTTGATAGACCTGAAGCATCTGACTCAGACCCTAAGAAAATCCTCTGTGGCCTATTTGTCTTTCAGTTTTATGGCTGCCTTTCTTTTCTGGCATGAAAAGCAGGAAGGTAGTTTTTCCTCAACACCCACATCTCAGCTAAGGACAGCATTCTTCCAAGATACTCTATGTCCTTTTCCCCCAACATGGAGAACAATTCCACCCCCACTTCCTTGGGGGAAGCCATAGCAGCCTGACATTTAGGAGTCTTCACCTGAATCCTCTCCTCATGACATCAGGTGTCTCCCTTCTTTCCCACTACATCTTCACTTTCTTTACATCTTGTTGGGAAGCTGTGATGAAGAAGGGTTGGTGACATATCTTGTTCTTGGATAAAAATTTCTCTGTAGGCCTCAAGGGGTCCTAGAGAGTCCATACCTTCTATACAGATGCTTCTGCTAGGAATCCAGAGATTAAGGGATCACCTGGATCCCTCTCCGGCCTCACATGTCAATATCATGTGACGTCCTTGTCTCTCCATCTTCCCTGCCCTGCTTCTGCTTCCTATGGAGCAAAAATAAGAACCAACCAGTTCTGCTAGGAACTTTAACCTGGAAAGTTGTGCCAGGCACTGAGGGGTTCATCACACCATTAGCTTCTACTTCCTCCAACGTCTCTAGTCTTTCCCCTCTTCTTCCCAGTCCTGGATACCCAGAAACTTCCAGAGTGAGAACATACTTACCTCATTTTCTTCCCTTCTCTGTGAAATAACTCACACCTCAGATGGCTGGAGGCCCCTGGAATACCATTTCTTTTCCCATGTTTTTGCCTGACTTCAACCGCCATTTCCCCATAGAATTCAGGAATGAATCACTGTTGCTCATTGCGTGGCCAGCCCACTCTACCCTCTGCCGGTGGCCCCATTCTGGATGCTTATCTTCTGTGCATCCTGTAATCCACAGGGGAGGGCTAGATGGAGCCATCAGGCAGAGAGAGAGAGAGAGAGACCGGTGGCCCCATTCTGGATGCTTATCTTCTGTGCATCCTGTAATCCACAGGGGAGGGCTAGATGGAGCCATCAGGCAGAGAGAGAGAGAGAGAGAGAGAGAGAGAGAGAGAGAGAGAGAGAGAG